AAAAAAAACGTTTGGGAACGTTTCCGTAAAGAGCAAAAACTCTCGGGAACATTCTCAAGTAGAACAAAATAAACACAGAACTTTTTGAAACGTTTGAAATGAGAACCAAAAAATAACGAAAGTATCGAGAACGTTTTCAAGGAGGATCAAATAAGAACAAAAGTCTGCGAAACGTTCGGCTAGAGAACAAAACGAGAACAAAAATGTTGAGAACTTTAAGTTTAGAATAAGAGAGGCGTCTGCGTGTTGGGATGAAACATCATTTCAGTGAGAACCACGATGGTTAATTCTAAGCCAGAGGAAAGCTGGATCATTTCAACTTCCAGATCGTTTATCATTATTTATGGAACAATTTTTCATTTTCTGTGCAAGTAAACTTCGTGTTTTAAAACTTTCGTTTAGTTCAGTTCTTTTTTGATTAATTTTAACATTCAAACATTTCAAACTAATGGAACGCTGTGACAAAACTTTTGTTCTAGCTTCAATTCTTCGAGAATAGTTCAGAGGAGATTTGTGCTCGTTTCGTTTTATTTAATTTCATATTATTGTTTGTAAGTTAATTGGAGTTTTTAGATTTTAGTTTTTACAACTATAACTACATAAAAAATAGAAGTAATAATTAAGGCAACTACCTAACAAATAAAAAATAAAAATTTCTTCCCGTGGTATTCGAACCGACGATCACGCGACTTGTGTAATCCGCCATACTACCGTCGATCAGGGTACAATTTAGATCCGATCAACTTCCATTCCGTTAATGCGGATTAACCTTGCCGTCTGTCTATGCTATAACTAAACATAACACAGCATGCCATAGCATAAAATAAATAACATAGCGTAACATTACATTACATAACATTACACAGCATAACATAATTGAACTTCACTTAGAATAAAAATTAAAATAACACAAAAAGTTGTACAACAAAACAAAATAAAATAAAGTATTAATTAACTCCTTAAGACGTAATGTAAATCACCATAACTACGTATTTACTACCCACATAAACTGACACACACTCACAGATATACTCCTACCTATCGATTTAATATTAAAAGAGCACAAATTACCTGCCAATTAAAAACTTGCTAACGAATTGTAACTGTCATTATGTTCCACTTTTAAATTACCTCTGAGCAGTGCAGTCCACCTAAGTATGCACACTAGGGTGGTCCAAATTAAGTAAAGGCGGAATTTTAATGCCCGCACCCCTTAGGATTGTTCTATACCGAAAAAATATGCACCTATTTTTTATTTTGAAGTCGCTCAAAGCGCTCCAAGTTTCCAGGTATTTTATATGGGCAAAAAATACTTTTCGTAGAAATGGTATACAATTATCGAAAATCATAATTTTTTAATAGGAAAACTTTGGTTCTCTTCAGGAGACTTCCAATAGAATTATAGGAAATCATTATTTTTCGATCGCGGAACTCTGGTTATCTTCAGGAGACTTCCAATAATAATACCCAATTGTTTATTGAACAATTTTTTTATACTAACGTTTTTTTTTTTGGGGCCCATTGCATTTTTTCGGAGATTCTGGTGAACTTATAAATTATAGTTACTATAAAAAACTGGTTAAATAAATAATTGGGTATTCTAATTGGGAATCTACTGATCGAATAATATTGAGTTTTAAGAACTCTATACCATTTCTACGAAAAGTTAATTTTTCACATATAAAATACATGGAGAATTTTGAGCGCTTTGAGCGACCTCTGAATGTTTTTTATTTCAAAATAAATAAACTAGGGGCATATTTATTTCGACGTAGAATAATCCTAGGGGATGAGAGCTTAAAAATTCCGGCTTTTTTGAACCACCCTAATGTACATATATACTTGCATGCCAGTAGGCCAGCCACAAAGTAGTAAGTACTACTTTGCTTTACTTACTTAACTAGTTTGTGCTGTCTTTTTTTTAAGTTTATGTTGTGTATGTTTGTGTAACGCTGTCCCATGCACCACTCAGTCTGCCATGTACTTATTATAGGACAGGACATTTCGATTGTTGACATTTTAATAAAGTCCATATAAAAATAATTTTTTTTTTAAAGTAAAAAGTGGGTCGGCATGGCGGTGTGTCGGTCGATTTTGAGGTGAAATAGCGGACAATGAAGCTTGCAAGTTGAAGAAGATGCGAATGTAGTTAAAAGTTATTAGTTTACTCGTAAGGTAAAGTTCAGAAGGTTAAACTTTTTAATGACTAACCACAGGTTTTTTTACTACTTTCAAAACTAAACCAATCGAAGTTGTTAAATATTGTAAGATGGAGAACTCAGAGAGATTTATTGAATCCCATGTCATGAGATAGACAAAGCAGAGCCTTACAACAGCAGAAATTGTAAATAGAAAAGGATCAGGAATCAGTTGAGGGCTGCTTTAGTGAGGAGCAGGAGCATAGCTTTGACAGAGTTTGAGTAAATACATTTCTTTGTAGGCCAGGTCCGAAGATAGATTTAGAAAAATTTAAGATTTTTGATTTTGTAGGTAAAGTCACCTCTAGAGTTCTATGATGGCAAGATAGCGCTTGATTGCTATTTGGACGTTGAGTTCTACGCCGCAGTCAAAGCCTACACTCAATTACTGTGGAGACATGAGGTTGACTTTCGTATCAAAATTTCCCAAAAAAAAACCTTTTGATGTATGTAAGCATATTGTCCAACCGTAGCTTACAAAGCCATTTACAACGACAATTTTTCCGATATTTTTTCAGCCGATTAAAGGCGCGTTTAAAGCAAAATTACACTAATGCCACTTACGCCAAAACGACACCGCAGATTAACTGACTGCTGAAAATAAAAACATATTTAGCGTTGCTTTAATATTATTTTGTATACATTTTACTGTTTCGCAATACGCTAACAGCTACGCTATACCGGCCCAGTTTAATTTTAGCTAAGCTGCTGAAATTTCATCTTCGCAGCAAATATTTATGCAGTCACGGGTAATAAGCGCACTTTTTACGACCATTGTGGATGGTAATAATTCTTGTAGTCGACATTTGTTTCTATATTTAAATACAGTATGTGCGCGAAGCTTAATTTTAGTGAAGTCAAAGCTCACACATATGCGCGAGTATTATGAAGGGAAATGTGAATACATGCGCTAGCTCGTAAAATGTCAGTTACCGCGCCTAAATGTATGCTTCATATGTATGTAAATTACATTTTATGTTAAGCAGTATGACAAGGGTTGTGGCACAACTCTACTTTAGGAGCAATTTTGGTGTTTTATTTTTTGTATTTAGTTGTGAATGGAGTGTTTTTCACATACATACATGCATGCATGCATACTTATTTACGAAACATTTATACATGGGCTTTGTGTATTAAATTGCAATTTTTAGCTTGAAAGCTGTTAAATGTTTTTGAAGCGGATGAGTTTGACAAAAGAAAGATATATACATATTTGTAGAAATGAGCGAGAGAAAAAACGATAAGACTAAAGTTAACAACTAAGATTTTTTTTCTAAGCAAGCAACAAATATGCTTCCGCCGTCTATCTACTCAGCGCCTTTACTTATATTTAGTAATTTTAAAGACTGGGTCTTACTTTGTACAAAAGTTATATAGCTAAATAAATAAATAAATAAATTATATGTTTCGTAGCAATGTGGAGTTATTAAATGTGCATGCAACCCCAAAAAAAAATTTAAAATACAACACAAAAAATTACAAAAAAAAACATTACTTAATCGGAAAGACGTGACGATTATTTGGTGCAAATTTGATGTTGGGAGCTACTTAGGGGAAGAAGTCATTTGTTGATACATTTGTCGATAGTTTTGTCTATTAATTAACGCACTCTATCGTTAACGATGGACGCATTTATTGAATTTTTTTTATCAAATTCATTCTTTTATTGATATTTACCAAATATACCGATATATGTAATTATGTATTGTCATTGTTACATGAGGGTTTATTTATTGAAAAATTTTTCGTTTTCCTTGCCTATTAATAAAATTGTAATAAATCTGATTTGTCTATCAGCGAAATTATGAGTATATATTTTTTTTTATCGACATGCTTTTCGATTAGTTAATATAATTACGCAAACAAGGTTTTACATAATGATTTAATTTTTGAATATTCACAAAGTTTTTCAAGCTAAAATTTTTTTTTTTAGAATTGTTTATTTTCTAATTCTGATTATTATATTTAACGTACGATACATTGTACTCTAAAGGAGAATTTTTGTAGAGAATTGAACAAAAAACTTCTGATGTCATTTTTCAATAAGTCAACTCGGTCAAAAGTTATTCGAGGTCAAAGTCGAATTCACCATGGATTCTTCCATACACCAAAAAAAAAATCTCGAAAATTCGAAACACCATGTGTCATAAGCTAGAGCTAATACAGAAATTTCAATCACAGATTTGAAATCGTCATTAAAAATTAGGCTAGTATTATTTAACATAATCTAATAATCAGAAATGCTGTCTAAACAGTCTACCGGAAAAAAGTGTGTTTAGCGTTTCGGACCTCTGTACACTACAACACTACAATGATTCCAATTGAACGCTTGATATCTTGACTTTTTCCGCTAACAGAATACTCAATTACAAATTGAAGCTAACAGCTGCACGAAATCCTTCGAACGAACAACTTAGCACCCAAATTACGCTTTCCTTATTCCCACAATTATTTACACTTCGCATGCCATTTGTTTTTGCGCCAAAACCAGTTGTCTATTTCACCGCATTGAGAGCAAGGTCGCTTTGAATTCGTAGTGGCTCAACCGCAGCTGCACAGCACCAAAGAAATAGCCAACCAACTTTAGCCTAAATCACATTTGCATCAAATAATCTCCCAAAAGTGCTACCCTTCACCCATTAAGCCGCTGCAAAGCCCACACAGGTGGTGCAACCAACCTACACACATACAAACGAACGCATGCACACATTTATCAGCTGCTCAATAATATTTATTGCATACAAAATAGAACGAAAAACAAATCCACTGCAATGCATACAACATTTTTTTTTGGCTGGCGCAGCTGCTTGTAGTCGCAGTAGATATGCAGTTGGTCGAAGCAACTTGCGGGCACAGCAGCTTAGCTTTGGCGTCCCTTCTAAAAGTTCACATAATCGAATTCACGTTGCAGTCGCAATGTCAGGCAGAGTTTGCGCAGCTCAGCAACATACTTGGCCCTGCAACGATCCACGTTCACCTTGTGCGGCAGTGGCAATTTGAGGCGATAAATTGGCGTCGCCAAATCCACTTCATCTTCGGTAATTGACAAATCCATTTTATCCGCCGGTGTCGTCTCGTCGGGCAGCAGTATATCCAGCAGCAAATCCTCACAACTGGCCGTGGCATTAGTGCGATTGCCCATCTGTGACCAGCAAACAAAGCGGGTGAAAAAAGCGGATGAGCAGAAGAAGAAAAAACGAATTATTAGATGCATCGAAAGAGACACAAACAAGAATGTGGTGTGGCAAAAAATAGTAGTGGCAGCTAGAACACAACAAAAATAAAAACAAACACAGCAAGCAGTTCATATGTGCAACACACTAAATACTGTCCACCTGGTTGTACCCACCCGCAGGTAAAGGTCCTCGGTTCCCACCGCTTGCCGATAGGTCATGCTGTACTCCGGTCGCTTGCGTGTCTCCAAAATCTCAGCATCCTCCCGCTCCTGCTGCTCTTGCCACTCCTCGATGCTGGTTGGCACTGGTCGCTCTAGTGCTTCCGTTCGCGCTTGGTTTTGTTTGTCTTCTCCACTGCATTTGCTGCCAATATTTGCGGGCGCTACGGAAATTGCCATGTCATTTACAAAATTTTGTGGATTTTACGGTTATTTTTCGAGCAGGTTTTCCAGCTCTTCGTACACTTACTGAAATTGTTGCGTCTGGCGATTGGCTCGTCATCGTTGTCGGTGTCAGAATTGTCTCGCTCTTCGGGGGGTGTGAGTAAATCGCGCAACATGCGTACGCTATCAGGATTTTCGAAGAGCGACATTTTTGCGGATTTTTTGCGTAACTGTTTTTTATGATTTTTTCTCTTAAGAAAATTGAACTTTTTCGTACGCTTTTTGCTTCTTTCCAGACTTTTCAAATCAAGTCAATAAATTCTTGTTTACTTTCTTTGTTCTGTTTGCACTCTGTAGTTCAACTACAGGTAGGTTGAAGTTGTTCTAGCAACACCACCTTATATGAACTCGCCTTGTTATTGATCAAGCAATTGGTTGCTTGGTTGCTTGGTTGTTATGGTCGATATCGATATTACAACGTTGTGGTGGTTAAGAGTGAAAGGACTATTTAGAAACGTAACCATGACGTAGTAAAAGAGCATTTTTAGTGGATGATTTCGTGTAAGGGTTTCAAGCAGGGCATTGATTAGTCATGAGCCCATAGCAAACCTAAAGGTCTGTTTTTTAGCTATTTTCGTACAAGCATATTTAAGTTAATAATTATCTACAAAAATACTAAAAATATGGGGAATAAAAAGAAAAGTAAGTACTTTAAAAATCTAAAACTGTTTTCTTTTGGACATTTTTTTTTGTAGAGAAAAATACATACTTCTGAAATATCATTTAATTTTCCGAGAAAAGTACTCTTTATGTTGGTATTCTCTATACTGTCAGTAGAGAACTATTTGGAGGGGAGAACTCGAAACCGAAATGCCCTTTGGTCGGCAAGGGTTAAGGTGTTTGTTTGGTTTTTTTTTTTTGCAAAAATGTGGGAAATCGAATTACAATCAATAAAAAATTTGTGTTTTGTTAAATAATATACTTGTTAGGCCATAATTAATTTTGGCCACGAAAATGGATAAAATTGTCCGTAGTGCGGTGATGTGGTGACATGAATATGTCTAGATTTGTAACACTGTCCTAGTCGCTGCACAACCAGATGAACTACCTCATAAAGTCAAATGAGGTACGCAGAATTCAGTGCTAATAGTAATTTTTATAGGCTAGGTCATTTAATCGAGTAATGTCAAACTCAAATTTTTAGGCGGGGCCCATGTTTGGGCAAAATTTATATACAGCTTACATACACAAATAAAATTATAGTTTGAAAAACTAAAACCTCGCTATTATAATTTCCATTCGTACTGTCATAAGGTATGTAACTTTAGAATAGAAATCGCTGCATCTTTTAGACGCTTCAATATTACATATTACATCCCCAGCTAATAAAAGGGGGGTAAAAAATCTAAAAATTAACGAACACGGCCAAAACATTGATTTTTTTCAAAATGATCCAAAATCTTTTAGAAAAACCTTTAATTTTTTATTGTTATTTTTTTGGTAAAAATGCATTCCTAAAAATTCTATTGGAATCAGAAAAGAACAAAATATGCCACTCTTAAAAAATTTTTCGATTTTGAGTAAAAACTTCAAATTTTTTTTTGTGAAAATTACACTTTTTTTTTCAAAATAAAATGACTTCATACTTAGTTTCTTTTATTTGATTGAAAAAAAACAATCCCCAAAAAATTAGCTCCTGGTACGGCATATAAATTGGTAGAAATGACCAAAGAATATGTATAACCGAATATATTTATAAATTTTTTTCATTTTCAACGATTTAGGCCGTTTTCGGTAATGTTTTTGATGTTTTTCGTATGAAACCTGTACACTGTACTGTCGCACTAAGAAAAAATCTTCCAATATGAATTTTCCGAGTCACCGAAAATGGTAAAATTTCGCTTAAAACCCTAGAAAAATTACTAAGTGTCTCCACTGAATCCAGCGTACGCGAATTGACTTTACTGGATAGGACGTCGACTTGTTCAAAAGAAAAAGTTTAATTTTTGTGCACAGTGTAATTAACCGATTCAAGTATCTTTCTTTAAATGATTTATCACCAAAACAATACAGCCTTGATTGTCGCCTTACATCAAGCAGAATTTTTGCGCAAACTAAAAACATTAAAATAGCAATAAATTTCTGTAACCAATTAGCTGAGTGCATAACCAAATGCCCACACCTACTATTTGCTCCCAAACTTCCACAGCGCTGCCCAAAATACACCGGAGGCTATCAAATATGAAATTTACAACTCTAACTTGTGTATAACTTACAATTCACAAAGGATTACCTGCTCGGTCAAGCGACAATTGTGCGCAAAGTGAGAGAAGCAGCTTGAAAGTGGGCGCACAAGCAGGCAGGGAAATAAAGCGAAAATTGTGTAGAAAATATTTATATTAGACACTGTTGCCTACTCAATTTTTGTTTACAAAAACAAAACAAAAATAAAAAATTACAACAACAATATTATTGCACAAAAGTTGTAGTAGTTCAAAGCAAGTAATATTTGCAGCTGTTTTTTTGAGACAAATGTCCTAGAATGTTGCTAACAGCACAGCCAGCGAGGTCTGCTTTTAGGCGCACAAACTGCCTGTTGGTCCAGAGAAGTGTAAACATATGTACGCTTCATGGCGAGTTTGTTTTTGTTTTCAGCTTCTGTGTTTTGTTTTTGTTTTTTTGCTAGTCGCGTTAAAGTCAGACACCAGCACCAAAGACCTTGTACCACTTAGTTTTTTTAATGTAAAAAATTTTCTAATTTATTCTCTTCACTATACTTTTGTGCGACACTGTACATGACATTGCGCCTTTTTTTTGCTTGTGTAGGCCATATTAGAAATTAATACTTTTCTGGCAGCAGCTACGAACGCTGTTGTTGTAGTTTCTTTTGCTGCCCTTTTACTTTAATAAGTTGTATTGCTTTTTAATAGTTGGCGCCTTGAAAAGCTAAGATACTAAAGCTTTTGTAGAATTTAAGGCACAGGACTTCTTTTCTTGAGCTTTAAGAAATTTGAAGCATTTTTTATTTATTTAGGTTATGAGCTATCATATTTGATTTTATTAAATTTTGAGCTTAGAACTTAATTGTTTGGATTTACGAGTATTACACGGGAAGGTCAATATTGTCATTGCTTGTCATGAGTTTATTGCAAAGCTGCATACAAAAACTATGCTGCATGGAAAATTCATTTTATTACAAATATTTGGCGAATACACTTCCAAAAAAAAGCGAACGTTTACTTTGTTTTTGCTTGCTTATTTGCAACTACAAAATTTTCATATGCTGACATATTTGCATAGGATTTTCGAGGCAAAGATATTGGACATGCATAAACCGTTCGCCTTGTTTAAAGCCAATGGCAATGCGGACAACGAAAGCTTGTAAGGTTATATTCTAAAATATGAATAAATAAATATAATAAGTACAAAATGTTAATATTAGGAAGAAATTCAAAATCAACGTTCTTCAATAAGTAGCACTTTGTGAGAATATTGCAGCAGAAATAAATGCATAAATACGTACATTAACTCACAGAAGTATTCGCAATTTAGTTTTTTCACAATATTAAAAACTTTTGCCATATAAATTAGTTTTGCAATCTTTGTAAAAATTTCAAAAAAAATAATAATCAAACTTTAAACAATTTTCATCAGAATTAAAATTTTTATTAAAAAATTTTAATATCTATTATTATTATATTTTTAAAAATTGAAGGGGGGGACCAATAAAAAATCGTTGGTATTAAAAAATAGTTCAATAAACAACTGGGTATTATTACTGAAAGTCTTCTGAAGATAACCAGAGTTTTCCGTTCGAAAAATATCGATTTTCAAGAACTCTATACCATTTCTATGAAAAGTTGTTTTTTTCCCATATAAAAATACATGGAAAACTTTGAGCGCTTTGAGCGATCTCTAAATATTTTTTGGTTTAAAAAAAAAAAAATAGAGGTATAATTTTTTCGATATAGAACAATCCTAGGGGGTGAGAGCATTACAATTCCGACGTTACTGTTTTTGGACCACCCTAATATACATGCATATCGTCTTGATACGCGGTATCTTGATACTTTAAACTTTAAACTATATCTAACTACATTTCGGGGAATTCTTTCGCTAAATAAATTCTTCAGTAATTTTATTGTCCAATTATTAAAATTGTTATCGAAATTGATTTCTGAGGCAAAATCTGTAGTGCATAATAAGCAAAACACGGAAAACCTTATCACAGCTACTTATGGCCAAACGAACATAAATATGTATTATTTTATTGCACCAGCATTAACTAATCTAGCAATTATCAAAACAAGATTAGAATTTACGAGTTTAGTGACAAGTTTATCGCATTTTGGTCTAGTACGCGTACAACGGCACGAGTATTTAGTGCATAAAGCAAACATACGTAGTTATGTATATATGTATCAGGGTTTTTGCGAATATTCGCATTCGCATTCGCAAACGCGGAGCTTCCGCATTAATTTCAACATTCGCATTCGCTTACGCATTCGCAATAATCAATGCGGAGCTTATGCGAAAGTTCATAAAGTTCATAAATATAACAGCAATGCAAAAATGGGTTTCGATTATATAGAATGTATGTAACTTCGTGCACAAAGCAATTGAAATAATGGTAACTGTTCTAATTTTATTTATTAGACTATATTTCACTAGTCATTGAAATTTATTGAAAGCACATGCTAGGATAGATGCTAGCTATGATAAGATTATTTACTCTCAACAGTTAATTGTTATCTTGTAGCATTTCGATCGTAAATAATTCATACAATAAACTGTCTCAAGCATTAGATATGGACTCTATCACTACGGTGACCATCCGTCCTGTATTATACGGGACAGTCCTCTTTTTTCGAGCAATTGTGCTGGCAATTAATTTATTTTATACGGGACGCCAAATGTTCTGTATTTTATTTAATGTCCTGTATTTGTTCCGTACTCGGGGTTCGGTATTTCGACGCGTCTGAATGCCTGTGACCACAAAATAAATAGGATTCTTCATTTTAGCAAAGTTCGGCTATTTTTATTTTGTTTATTATTATTTTTAAGTTAAGCTCTTTTTCTAACAAAAATCAAATAAATAGAATTGTCCGACTTTGTGCAAAAACTATGAGAATTAATTCTACAAAATTTCCCCAAAATTTCAAACTTTTTCATGAGAAACTTTAGAAAAAAATTTGGTTGCAGTTTTGTA